TTAAGAAAAATGATACAGAAGCGTATAAAAGTATTATTCCGTAGAGGAAAAAAATCCAACGAAAGTTTTGTTTTCTTCAATTCATTTCATGTTTATTTTTATGTTTGCATCCCACGATTAAAATCCGCCTTATCATAAGGACCAACATGCTCCAATACACTTACCAATGTAAGGATCGGGATGCCGCCACTTATTGTGGGTTGCCTCACCAGCAGCAATCATTCTATCTATGGTCTCAATATCATCCTGAAAGCCCAAAATAAGAGGCAAAGCAATTAAAATAAAATATAGTCTTTACCTTTATGGCAATCAATCTAAATTCTTCAAGAAATGCAACTTCCTTTTGTTTTCAACAGGAATTCATTAAGTCAATATCATCAAGCATTCTGAGGCAGGTAAACAATTTCTCATAGCTAAAGTATCAATTCTTTTCTTTCTAGATAGCAATATTTTCAACCACTTAGTGGCCTTTTTTTTCAGGAGCAAGCTAGGAATGGAATCACAATTCCAAGTAATTTCTCCTTTCTATCATTACCACATCTATCCCATTCCTTTCCAAATACATTCCTGCATACCAGACACCATTCATATGATCATATCCTATATCTATCAACATCAAAAACATAATTAGGATACTGCCATATAAATCACAAATCATGCCCATCTACTTACTAAAGCAACAACCATTCCTTTCCAAATACATTCCTTTCCAAATACATTCCTGCATACCAGACACCATTCATATGATCATATCCTATATCTATCAACATCAAAAACATAATTAGGATACTGCCATATAAATCACAAATCATGCCCATCTACTTACTAAAGCAACAACCAGAAAATAGGTAGTCAATACACCAAAATTTAAACCATAGCAAACAAGAAAACCATTTAATTTGATGAAGCAAGTCTGAATTATCCAATCACTAAAAGCCCGTAGCCATTTAAACATCCTAGTACCAGTACGGAGTTGTTTCTGCAAATGTTGACCATTTCTCATATCCGCCAAAACCTAATTTGATTGTCCAAATATTTATTGTTTTATTCGAAATAGAAAAACAACAAAATCAATGGGAAAGAGAACGAACAACGCTTCTGTTGGCTTCGAATTTCTCTCTGAGAGCATCGGCCTGAAACACCAAAGGAGAAATACAAAGTCCTCAGTTATTATCAATCTATAATGCATATAAATACATATAATACACAGACACACACACAAATACATTATACATATACGAATTCATCGAATGAACTGTGCTAAGATCGCATTAATGTAAATAACCCTAATATCGAGAGAGGAAAAAATTACATCGGGATAGAAGAGATGGCGATGAACGGCCCAATTAAGAGTGTCCTTGAGAGCTCGTCTGTAGAGGATTCTCACCCTCTCCTTCTGTGCAGCTCGCCGAGCCAGGTAAGATGCTGAAGCCACGCTCATTCTTCTCACTTTCTCTCTCACACGCCGTTCCCCCACACTTCTTTTACTCCAAAGTCCTCAAGCTCCAATTCCAAATTTGTGTCACACGACGTCGCTTCAACTGGAACGCTTGCTTCCCAATTTTAAAGGCCCTCTGTTTGGGCCTCACTGGAGAAAAGGCTAAGCCTACCAGAAAAGAATAGGTGGGCCGGTTCCCCTATAGTAGCTGAAGTCCACAATATGCATCTAAGGTTGCTTGCTTCTTTTTTTATTATTATTATTTATTATTATTTTTAACTCAAACTGAACTCAATTTCATCCCTAATTTTTACAATGAATATACCAGAATTTGTATATTTTATCATTATGTAAAAATTAATTATTTATGGCTAAGCTGCTTAAAAGGTTTTTTTTAGGAAAAACAATTGTAAAACACGATTATTATCTAATTTATGATCATCACCGATAAGTGTATTAGTAACACTAGGATAATGTCTTCGTCAATAGTATTTTTTATCATCGTATAAGTTCCATTAGAATAATTCAAGAAGTGCTCGGCATCCATCACACTTTTGTAGCTTTAACTAAAAATGATTTTACGTAATCTATCCATAAATTAATAAATTATTCATTTATTGATAAGTTAATAACATTGTTAAAGTAATAATTTTCTCGGCCCCCATGATAAGTGTATTTGTACACTTATTTAAGTTGTTAAATTAGAGTATTTGTTAGTGAATTGGATGAATTATAGCTTAATTTTGTGTTAATTATATTTGTTAGATTGAACTCAATGCAAATTAGTGGATTAGAATAAATGAATGAAAAATGGGGCGAAAAAGAAGGAAATTCAAAGTTCGAGGACCAAAGTGTAAACGTTCAATAGTTTATTCGGAGCACGAAACGATGATTGAAGATCATATTGGATCAATTGGATGCAATTGGAGGGCATTAGTTGAAATATTTTCACTAATCAATTTTAAGTCGAAAAAAGTTATGTTTTGAATTTTTAGCCTCAACTTGAAACCCATTTTTGGGATAGCGAATGATCGAATTAGAAATTTTTTATTTCCAGAATAATTGTAGTTCTTTGAATTAGATTTTTGACCCACTTTGAATCGTCTAAATCAAATATCGAGAGAGAAATTTATGACCAAAATATCGAAAGCTACTCAAGGACGACGTGAACAGAATCGGCGTGCACGAAACAATTCTGGTGCACACGCAAGACACTAAAATTTTGATCTGAGAACCATTTGGATCAATGGCCCGCGCGGTGGTTTTGTCTGTGCGCGCAGGGGCCATTTCTACATATGAATCGGTAATTTTCTCTCAAGATTTAAATTTTTTTGGAACCCAAATTGGTCGCGATTTTGACTTATTTTATGGCTCTTATAAATACAAAACGACGGCTACGCATTAAAAAAAAACTCCCTTGCCTTCTTATACACAATAATATCATCAAATTCATCAAAAACAAAATGTCAATAGTTTATTTTTGAGAGAGGGGATCAAGCCCTATCAAGGAATTGAAACAAATTATATCAAGATTTTGATGAATTGAACATTTTACTTGAAGATCAACATCTTTTCATAATCCAGGTGATATTTTTCTATTTTTCTTTTTATAATTTATGAATTAATATTTTAGGCTAGATCTTTTTTTGTATTGAATGAAGATGAACCCAATTGTTTATTTGTTTTAATTCAAGACTAGTAGTTTAGTTTAATTCTTGTGTTTTTTGATTAATTTTGCATATCCATTGCATTATTT